CTATCTGAAATTATCTGCTGATAAAACAATTTTACAAATTCATACCAATTTTTACTTGAATCTAGCCCAAAATCAGCAGCCTTTTATTGTTGTACGCATAAAAAATATAAAATTTTATGAATCAAGTCTCCTTTATTATTTAGAATTACTCCTTGTGAATCTTAAGGAGACCAATTGGCCTTAGAGACCCTTTCATCTCTCGGGTATTCAATTCTATTTTCCACTTTTCTATTTCACGATTGCTAACGCATGCCTTAAGGGCATCCTTCAGCCTAGACATGAGCCTTTCAGTTGGATCTCTCATTAAAGGCATATATGTGCTGCTACCGTTTGAATGAATTTGCATTTTTTGTGTTTAAATTAACCTACCCAGGACTACCACTGATTCTATATTTCAGCTTTCACAACAATTAGATTGTTGCCACATACATATCCAGAAACACTACTGAGAGCGCAAGATTTCTCTGGCATGATTATTTAATGTAATGAGGAATCACCATCTCATTACCATTATTTATCTCAGGCAATTTATAAGATAGGCTTAATAATTCAACAAGTATATCCAGACAATGGTATACTTCATTTGAAACTGCAAAATGCAATCCTTATTTTAATAAAAATTTCCACACTATTCTCCACAGCTGTGCTGGATTAATTAAATACCTTATCCTTCCAAACTTTGTTGAAACCTTGGTTATTACGACAGCAAACGCTCATTATTTCTCTCTGTAATTTGAATTCCTTAGTTCCCGACTTTCTTGTTCCAGTATCTTCCTAGTTATTCTCTAAGTGACTTTTCTTGAATCTTCTTTCTATTCTTTTATACGAAACGAAGGTCTTCCCATCAATGTTATCTCAGGAGATTCATCGAAGCCCACTTATTCTTCCTATCTACATTTAACGTTTGCACCATGTTCATATTTGATGGTAGATTGCCTTTAATGTTTGATAAGTTGTTAAGTTTTAACTGTATGAAATTAGGCAATTTTATTATCTTGGTTCGACCTCGCTCTCCCAAAACATCGCGAGCACAATGACAAAGGACACAGGACTGTTTATGCTCTACAAGATTTCAATGACGCTCCAAACAAGTTGCGAAAACGAGGTCTAGCCAACGATATAAAGTTAAAGGAGACTGCAACCAGACAGAAGGCCACATTATCTTGTTTTTTTTAATCTAAACTCCACTTTGTTGTTTGTATATTCTCAGTTATGGTATATTTTTCTTTCTTTTTTTAATATATGAACACATTTTGTTTATTTATATTGTTTGCTATATAAGTAGTAA